ATTGTAAGCGCTGTCACGCGTACAATTTTTGCCAGATTTTCCTGAATTTGAAATTAAAAGGTTTATATCAGCTATGTTTCGGAAAATTTCGAGATTCCAATGTCTTTACTCCTATTTGATCGTCACTGCCGTGATGTTTTTCGAACTTGTCCGAGACATTGTTGATGTACACCTTTCTAGCAAAAATTTAACACGTGAGAGCACTTACAATACAATTGTCCTTATTATTAAAATTTCCAAGTGGCATAACTCTTTAAACAATAGTTGATCGGCACTGATTTTCAAAATTGTCCGAGACATTGCTAATACAGTCATGTCTTTCGAATGAGCTGACATAACTGAATTATCTAATAAATCATCGTAAACTCTAATTATCATCCAACATAAAAAATATTCTGCTATATTCGACGCCAAATTGAATTTTTGTTTTATTGCTTTTCTTTAGAATATCTCCAGAAGAGGTCGAGTTTTTTGTGTTTTTTTTTACTCACCAGAAGATATTCTGGGGCGTGTTTTGTTGCTCTCTTCAGTACATTTCCAGAATGTCTTCTGAAAGTTCTGTTACGTCAGCTCATTCGAAAAACGTGGCTGTAATAGCATGCTCTGTTTTGGCATTGATGTAATTATATAATAAGTGTAAAAATTTAAAAAAAAAATCATTGAAAGAAATCGCTGTGTTCGTGACATTTTTTTCTTTCTGCTTTCCTAACTTAATTTAGCTAAACAAATCCGGCTTATAGCTCAGACCATTTGATTTTCAGGAATAATCTAAAACTGTACAAGAATTTGTCAATGCTTGTCTGGTATATGATCGAAAAGCCCATCTTGTCTATCTTTCAAATAAGTTAGGAACCAAATAATAATAATAATAATAATGTTTATTGAGGTGAAGGAAATAAATACAAATACACAAGATTTAGAAACTTAGCGAAATATAACTTTATACTATAGTAATGTTTGTGAGTTAAGGTATATCTGAAGCCTTAAACCTTGACCAAACATTCTCATTGCTGAAGGCCGTACCGTTACCTATAGTTGCTTACATCCACTTTAATTGACTTCTGGTGGATAGTGTTGTCTCATTGGCAATCATACCACATCTCCTTATTTTCTTTTTATTATTAACCCTACTTTTAATCTCGTGTCTCAGAAATTTAATAGTATTGCAAGCATATATTTATCCTCATTCAGCTTATCGTCCTACAATAGCTGTCATGCCATTAAAACGTGTATCACACAGCTCATATTCTATCATATCTGCATTCATTAATATCATTCAGACTAAATGAAGCCATGTTTGTTATGTGCCTCCGCCGTCTAATCTACCTATTTTAAAGGAAGAGGTAGAAGAGAGACAGCTCTTCCCAATACAAAAAAAAACAAAAACAGAAATGGACCTCTTCTGGCTCACTACTGTAGAAAGAAACACGCCCCTGCCTATTTAATAGGAAGAGAACGAAGAGGCAGATCTTCCAAATGCAAAAAAAACAAAAAAACAAATGGGCCTCTCCTGGCTCATTACCGACGAACCAAAAAAAACCCAGGTTGGGCTTCGTACTCATTGTTTAATGTTTTTCAAAGGATTTTTGAAATTTCATTGCCAATTCAATTGCCGGGGAACAATCTGCTTTTTAAAATCTTCGTGAACATTTTGACAACTTCATGGTTTCATTATGCAAGCATCTACCCTCGGTGTGATGTGCAATAGACTAGTTAATACCTGTAATAATGTTGTACTACAAAACTGGTTATATGCTATTCGCAATTTTGTAGTGTCAATATTGAACAGATATATCGTGTTATGGAGGGGTATTTGCGAAAAATACCAGTCAAGGGACGGTGAAATTTCCCAAGCCGCTAGGCGAGGGAAATTTGGTTCAAAGACTGGTATTTTTCGCAAATACCCCTCCATAACATGATATATCTGTTTAATTACACCGAATAGATTGTGATTGAAACTGTCTGTACGTGTGAAGATCTGTGAAGGGAATTCGAAGTACCGCGGGAATTATACATGTACTTATATGCGTTAGTGCTGTCTTTTTGTAACGTCATGGTATCTATATGTGTAAACGTCATTGTTATTCCATCATTAAATCGTTCATTTGTATAGACATTTTCCCCCCATTTTATATGTATATTTCTGACAGTTAACTCAATCAATAGTGCTTAACCATGTTGTCGGGATAAAATGAGAAAGGTTCCGAATAATTTTGGCGGGAACAGGCTCGCGAGAGTAAAAAAGGAATATCCAAAATGGCAAATACCACGGCAGAGAGGGGAATTTGAGGCAAATTCACCGGCAGTGGTGAAAAATCAGGCAAATTCGTTTGAAATGAGGAAAAAATGTTAGAATATGCGAAAAATACTCTGGCTAACAACCAATCAAAATCCGGCATTATTATACAAGGTGTAATTAATTGTATAAATATCACATGGCGAAGAGGATGATTTTAGCCGATTGTTATCCAGAGAATAATATTGTGAACCGAGGCAAAGTCAAGATGGTTATTTTTTGTTGGTTTTTTAATTTTTGGTGTGAACCGGTAGCAATCACCTTCTCAGTATTTAATTTATTAAACTGAATGTTCTGCTTTCATTGTCTTTTAAATAATTGATTTTTGTGTTGCCAGGTTTCTTTATTATTATTAACCAGGTTTTTTTTATTATTATTAACGAGATATTAACTTTCAAAATATTGTTTACCACTGAGCCATGTGTCGTAGAATGTCATATTCGTATCAACTGATATAAAATTGCTCACGCAAATACCCCTCCTGAACATGATATATAATTAAGTACAGCAAATATCAAGATCTCGGATCTCTTTGAGATGGAGGTCCGGTGAACTCATGCCTTTCCGTAATGTTATCGCATGGCTTTCCGGCGTAATTGCACCTTATGTAAGAATCCTGGGTTTTGGTTGGTTGATAGCCAGTGTATTTTTCACCAATTTACTTTTATCAAATTAATATCGTTCATTTTTAACAGCGCCGGGGTATATGCAAAAAGGATATGCCTTTCTTACCCTCTCTGTCGATCATCAATGCGTTTTGTACGTTAACATTCGGTGTAATTAAACAGATATAGCATGTTCTTGAGGGGTATTTGCGAAAAATACCAGTCTTGAGAATGAATTTCCCTCGCCTTACAGCTCGAGAAATTTAACATTCTCTCGACTGGTATTTTTCGCAAATACCCCTCCTTAACATGATATATCTGTTCATTATTTGGCAAATTCCGGAAAATACACATCAATATGGTACGTTTTCAGCGAAAAACATAACAAAGTAGTACAAAACAATTATTTGTAAAATGCAAAAAAAAACAAAACAAAAACAAATATACATTAAATGCATTTTTCAAAGTTTCCAGCATAATATAGAAAGTTACTTTACAAATGTTGACTTTTCCAAACAGTGTTAATTATGTTTTGTTGATTTTTTTTTTTTTTATCGTCAATATAAAAATATACTATACTGTTGTTTTTTCCTCTGTTGAGGCATATGATAGAAAGATTTAATATCGGATGTATTACATTTGGCGTCCGTCGTCCGTAAACTTTTCACTTTTTGAACTTCTACTTGGGACCACTTAAAAGGATCAATATATTAAACTGTTATTATTCTCATTGTTGAAGCATATGATAAAAAGATCACAACATGTCAATTTTCATATCAGATGTATTATCAGCCCTCGAGCCTTCAGCTCTTAGGCTGATAATACATCCGATATGAAAAATGCCATGTAATAATCTGATATTATCCTAGTACTCACAAGTGAGCAATCTTTGAATATTTATTTTTAATTTGTATTAATATTGATTTTGTCGTCAGTAAATTAAAATAAAACTAAATAATATGCACATTCATGGCTCTACACAATCTGTTGATACCTGCATCTTGGCATTGCACAAGGTCATGTTTTTCTCGGACTGTTAATGACGTCGACACTAAATCCATTAGATGTTGGAGGTGTAGAAATTGATATTTTAGTATTAGATGGAAGATTTTTTTTATTACCTTTTATTGGCTTTGAACTAGCTGTCAGCATCTGCGAGTACTCTATGTACTTATCGTCCATGTTGTAGGGATGTATAAGTACCCTGCAACGTCAACTCTGTTTATGTTATATTCTATTTGTACCCATCTGATGAGGAGCCTTTTTCAACTTTTGATAGTTTGTTCTTGTGTTGTACTGTTACACCACTGTCCCAGGTTAGGGGAGGGTTGGCCCCTTTAAACGAGTTTAAACCCCACCACATTCTGTATGTGCCTGTCCCAAGTCAGGAGCCTGTAATTCAGTGGTCGACGTTTATTGCTATGTAACATATTTGTTTTTCGTTCATTATTTTGTACATAAATTAGGCCGTTAGTTTTCTCGTTTAAATTTTGTTTTACATTTGTCATTTCAGGGCCTTTTAAAGCAGACTATGCTGAACCATGAAAATGAGGTAAGGACCATGGACATGACAGACGGAAACTTTGTATTATAAGGTAACTGCATACCAGGTATGAAGTATCCACGTCAACCTTCTGAAATATAAAGCTTTATACAAATAGTATACACCACTGTTGGATACTAACCCCTATGTCTAGCATTCTGTCACTTTCATCGCAGGGGAGACAAAAACGTTTACTCACTACAACTTATTATCCAGCTGCAGATAAATCTAAAATCATTCCCTTCTATAGAAGCCAAGTATTTGGACATTCCCAAGTCTGCTCCAGTCATGCTCCAGTGATTCCCTATATAATCAACCAAATTTTTCCAAAAAAAGGGGGGCCCGGGCCCCCCTTGGATCCGCCTATGACTATGATTGGTAACAGTTACCGATTATCTACTGATGCATTATCTAAACAATGTTTGGACTCCTAATACATGATTATGTTTATTTGAACATCACCATAGATTTCGACATCTATGATTAAGATCTATGAAGTTTTCTGTAGACTGCAACAAATAACTATGTATTGTATTGACAGAAACTATAAAACAAATAATTTACAAAATTTTTTAATTTAAATTCTTTTCTTACATGTTGTGGTAAAACATGACCACTATAACAAAATAACAACAATTTGTGGTCAATGCCAGACCGGCTAAAAATGAGATGTTAAAAAAAATCCTTTTACTAGTGATCAACTAGTTGTTTCATTACATTTCTTACTTTTTTCACTTTGAATGGAATACTTACCTGATTATTTTATTTGTCTTCTTTTTTTTTTTATCACATAATTATGTCATACAGAGCAAAGACAATAAAACCATTTAACTAACTTATAAAACATGATAAAACACTCGTCTTACATTAATATGCAATAAACATTAAAAACAAATGAACATGGATTTATTTGCAAACTCAGCACTTTTTTATATCTTGGTAGTGCTAAATTTGACTGGACCCTATATCTTATGCACAGATGAGAAAATAACAAAAAGTTATTAACTGAACAGATGAATATTTCATAAAATCATAAAAGGCATTACTATGAATAAATGAGTATTTAAGAATATTTTGTACACTTTGTTTGGTTTCAGTAAATTTCTGTCAGTTGATAACAGATTTGCATGTAGAGAATGAAATGATATGGGACTTACATGAAATTTACAATAAATAAAGTTACATTGCAACATTGAGATAAAATTAAGAGACTAAGAGATTTACACTGGTGGAGGAGGGGGTATTTTGGGAGGATTACCAGCTGGTAGTGGAGGTTGAGAAGAAGTGTTCCACTGATTACCCCATTGCTGATTGTATTGTCCACTGTAACCATTATTATAGCCGTTCATTTGGCCTTGTTGACCGTCATGTTGTGGATGACGTAAATTATAATGTCCTCCTCCCTCTTGTGTTTGATTATAACTTCCACCAGACTGGTTATAACCACCACTTGTATTTCCAAATCCTTTCTGTCCTCCACTAGTATTTCCGAATCCTTTTTGTGCTCCAGTAGTATTTCCAAATCCTTTTGTTGCTCCAGTAGTATTTCCAAATCCTTTTTGTCCTCCAGAAGTATTTCCGAATCCTTTTTGCCCCCCACTACTGAATCCACTACTGCGATTTGCTCCTCCATAACCAGATCCCCCAGAGCTGGCCCCATACCCTGAACGACCCCCTGCACCTCCACCAGATCCATATGAACCACCCTTATTCCCAAACCCACCCCCACGACCCCCTCTACTTGAATCACGGTCACCAAAACGTCCTCCTCCTCCTCTCCTGTCGTCCCTGCCGCCTCCTCTACTATAACGATTACGACCTGAAAAAGAAATTCAAAATTTTGAGAATGGTAAACATAAGAAAAAAATTTAATGCAATTTCAGCAGACCAAGGAAATATTCAAATAATGACTGACAAGGCAATTATCCTTATTAATCGAGTTTGATTTTAGAATACTGCAAAGGAATCTGGGATTACTTATTTCAGGAAAATATGCACATAACGTTCTGTGTATTTTCCAAGAATGATCATATTGACTGATTTTCAACAAGTTTAATTTTCTTGTTTAACAGGGTTGGAATTTGAAAACTGAATTTTGAATAAATTTCCCTTCACATAAATAGTAATACATGCACATTGTGTAGTATTTTTACAGTTGTTACTGCCTCAATGTGGCATGTTCTTCAAGCTAATGAATCTTAAATTGATGGGTCTCTTCCAATAATAAATGTTAATTGATTCCCACCTCCCCTTCATTCCATATTCCCCAATGTATGTTTTAAACCATTGAAAAAGTACATAGTCAAAGACTTTTGCAGAACCCCCAAAAAGTCTAGTATACCCCATTATCCACTAAACTGGAGGATTGATTGTGGCCAAAATTTCAAAGCATATTAATGACGACTTAACAGGTGGAAAATGCATCAGCATTCATTTAAATCATTTAAAATTTCAGCGGTTAGTTGAGGGCTATTTTAATTTTCTCACATTATGAGATGAGTGTGTGATTAATTTAGAAATGAATTACTTTATATGTTACAAGCAGCTTATTAATTTTCTACTTAAAATCATTTACTTGAAATCTGGATAATTAAATAGTATAAAGAAATGTCAGCAATGGTGAAATTTAAAATTTTCTTGGTCTGCAGTACAAATAAAAAAACAACTGATGGTCAAAATACTTACAAGAAGAAAATATGGAAGCATCTAGAAGTCAACAAAGGCCCTTCACCAAAACAATGGTTCTGTGATCAGGCCTAATTAAAGCAAAAAGAAACAAATTTTAATGCTCCATAAATTAAAAAATTTGGAACAAACTTTTTCTGACCATCAACTGTCTATTATAAATAATTCATTTTTTTGCTTATACTTTGGGCTATTCCATTACAAAAATAGATGTGGGAGGGAAGGACAGGGACTTCAGAATTCTCCAGACTTTCTTTGAATAATTTTGCATACATTAAATGGACCTACATACAGAATGACTTACCCTCAATGTCAAAAAAATAAAAATTCCCTTTCTAACCCCTTCCCCCAAACCATTTTAATAGAATAGCCCTTATCAATGACGATGTTCCCTAATTTTCAATGTTTGTGAAAGCTCTGCTGTTTTATCTCCATAATTCTAAATATCCACCTTCATACACCTGCAAATATCTATCATTAAAATGCAAAAACAAATATCATAGAAATTAATTCTGCATGAATTTTTCCATATTCATCTCAAAAATAACCATCATGCAAACAAAGTTAACTTTGGAGCTACTGTTCACAAATGATACCTTTATAAGCAATGGATGTGAAAATGCATCACAATGTAGTATGCACTCGCATTAAGCTCAATTCCAAATTTCAGCAAGACCTGATAAAAAGTATCAAGAAAATTTTACACAGGGTAATTATGTGTTTGAATTTATAAGCATTTCATAAACAGGAAGTGCTTGAGCAATGATTTTAAAAAAATGCATCACACAATTAAACATCCTCACATGAAGTATGATGCCAAATTTCCTAAGCTATAATTTGCAGTTCTTGAAAAAAGTGGGACAAAATTTCATTGGAAGGACTGAATACTCATGGCTAGTATCCCCTCTCCATTCTGGGCAGGGCTATAATGAACAATGATGAAGTAACTTAATTTCTGTTATGCCCTTTCACAAGCATGCTTCGCCAACCCTTTAATACCATTAAAAGCTGAATGAGTCATGTCTCTTCAAATGTATGTTGCATCTTTATTACACAAAACATTTTGCCTAGATGTTTACCTTTTCCTAGGAATCTAGCACTTTCTCCAAGTTGCACAAGTTTTGGATTGACTTGTTGATTGGCTTCACGTAGTACATTAATCAAATCTACAGCCTGTTTACAGTTATTTTGTGTGAAGAATGTGTATGCTGTTCCTGTATTGTTTGCACGAGCTGTTCTGCCTATTCTATGAACATAGTCTTCTGATGAATTTGGATAATCAAAGTTTATCACAAATTTGATATCTTCTACATCTGTATGTCCCAAATGTGATCAAAGCACAAAAGTGACAAAAAAATAAAACATAAATACAAATAAGTACTAGCACATAACTGATATAATACTGTAAATGAATATAAATTAGTTGTATTAAAGTATTACAATCAAGTCATTTAATCAAGTCTGGTTACATGGCATTTATTTACTGATAAAACATGCATACTCCCAATTATTATTTTAATGAAGAAATAGGAACTGTCATGCTGTTTTCATTCTAACCCTGGGTCTCAAGTATTTTAATGAAATGATACGTGACTTACCTTGTTACATATACATACCATAGATACCTGCAATCAGAATACCTTAAACCCAAGGAACTTCCAACAGAAAACAACATGAGACAAGTGGGAGCATGCAATACTGCACTTTGCTTTTTCGACTGATGTTTCATGCACTCCTTTTCCATGTGAATGCTGCATCAACACATATCCTTCTCTCTCCTTAAACCCATCACATATTTATTTGTATGTCACTTGCCAAAACCTACATTCTCTTTCAAATTTAAATGTCAACATCCACAAATAGTATAAACTTTGCAGTCATATACATATCCACAATTAGTATAACTTTGCAGTGGTATAAATACATTCATAATTGATATTAAACCTTTATATTACAAAATACTTAACTTTGAATTGCACAATAAAATTTCATAGATTACAAGATGACAATAAAAAACAATCAACTGCTAATATATACTAATGCAATACAAAATATTTAGAATTGAAGGGGAGGAAAGGGATTAATTTCACTTTTATTAGAGCTAAAGAATTGAAATAAAGGACAAAATATTTCATCCTTTCCTCCCCCCAATAATTTCAAGTTGTTTTACAATATTGCTCTCTGGCCAATGTAGACAAAAAAACTTAAAAGACAGAAGAAATATAATCAGGTCATGACTGGTACCTGCTTTGTCATAACGGAAGTACAATGCAACAATGTAAAAACATAAAAAATTAACTTGTTTTTGTCTTGCCAATCAAATAACATTTTATTCCAAATGTTCACTGTTGAGAGCTCAAAACTGCTTGACCCCCTAATTCAAAGATCTCTCTCTTTCTATAAATAAGACCTTTTGAATAAAGAAAGGCAGCAATTGTGATAAGATAAAAACTAATTTGTACATATACATGCATGTCTTATTTTTAAAGGAAGTATATGAAAAGAAAGGGATAGACATCTCATTATCACAAAAAATGTATTCGAGAGAGATACTGCAACAATTGTGGTATGCTGACAGATTGCAAAGTCTTAAAATAACAGATAAAAAAAATGGACCATTTAAATGATCGTCCGTTTACATTAGGCCATTTGTAACAGCCAGCTTGCTCTATTCCGTGTTTAACCTTCATAACTACTTCGTGTTTTGGCAAGTTTATATCTCCATACAAATACCTTCTCTGATTTGTTTACTGAGTCTTGAGGACATGTCTTGTAGAATCTACATTCCAAGCTGTATAGGAGTGCATTCCTTGAAGGGTTTGTGCATCTGCAGTTCGAATATATCCCGTTTTAAGTTATTTTCAGGTTTCTTCTTAAGTTTTTGAAAATGCACATTCCCTCCTTTTGCATCAGTCAGTTCCACGAAGCAAAGTCTATTTTTTTCCTCCTCGCCAGTACCAGACATTAGTCTATTAAAAAGTTATTTCCGTTAGATCAACATTGAAAGCTGATTCAGGAACTGTTCTTTTAAAAGAGCTAAGCTTCTATTCAAAAAGAAAAAACAAAATAATAAATCAGTATTATGAATAGAAATAATACACTTGTTGGAAAGTAACTGCAAAAACACCCAAAACTTGACAAAATGCTACAATTTGTTTGATCAAATGATCATCAATACTGGTTTAAACTTCAAAGTGACTGATCAGTTAACAGACAGCTGAATTCAGGAATAATTTCAACTTATTATATATACTTGGTGACTAGTGACAGTTTTTGTGTACAAACCTAGACCTCTGGACGCTACATCTGTGGCTATTAGAATTGGTGTTTTTCCTACTCTGAATTCTGAAATTAAATAACAAAATACAATGACATTATTGTATATACATGAACTCAGATAATTATTTAATATAACCATATCAAATGTAGTTTATTCTGACATAAACATATGAATATCAGTTAACATTTGTGAGGTAAGTTGACCTGACCATCCTGAGTTGTAAATCAGTCAAGAATATTTATTATCTAGCTTGCTTGTGGAATAATGAATAAAACTTATGTTTCAGTTTTATTTCCCTTAGTTTCTTTAATATTACTAAGTACATTTATTTCAACTTTCAAATTAAATGTGTTAAGATACATAAAAACTATGCCTTTGAAAAGTGCGATAAAGAGAAAAGGAGGTTGTAAATCTATATTAGTCCAAATAACACTCGACAGCACAATTCAAAACCATAAGTTAACATCAATGGCAGATTTGCTAAACTTGGAGTGACATCAGGACTTCTGAAACAAGAATGTGTCCATAGTACACGGATGCCCCACTCGCACTATCATTTCTATGTTCAGTGGACCTTGAAAGTGGGGACAAAAAACTAATTGGGCATAAAAATTAGAAAGATCATATCATAGTGAACATGTGTACTAAGTTCAAATTGATTGGACTTCCACTTCATCAAATACTACCTTGACCAAAAACTTTAACCTGAAGCAGGACAGACGGACGAACTGAGGCACAGACCGAAAAACATAATGCCCCTAGCTGGGGCATAAAAATCGTTTTTATACTGAACGAATGTGGTCAGTATGTTTTATTGGAATCATCCCAGTGCCTACTGGGTTAATTGTACCCTCAATCACTGTCAGGCTACTATCAGCAGCACTGACCCAAAGGCAGTAATCCCAGTGCCTACTGGGTTAATTGTACCCTCAACCACTGTCCGGCTACCACCAGCACAACTGACCAAATATAACAAATAACCCCTATTCCAAACAGATAATTGCAGTATCTTTTTCGACAATTTCTCAATTCATGCACATAGTTTAAGAAAGCCATCTGTTTCTTTAAATATCCAACTGGAAAGATTTAACTATTCATTATCTAAAACCTACCTTGTAGAACCCAATCTCTTTCTTGTTGATTCTTATCTCCATGTATACACATTACTGGCCAGCTGTAAGTAAAACATAAGTCTGATAATATGATTACATTTGTACAAAGAAAATAAGTCTTTCAGATAGACTAAACATTTTTTATTCTGAAATATAATTTTTAGTCAAACATATTTTTGAAAGAAACATTCTATGACAACACTTTTTTGTATATGATTACAGAAATTGTAAATAACCTAAATAAAAGTTTTTGTACGTTAAACTGCAAAAAAGCTTAACAGATTGTTAAGCTTTTCTAGGATCATATACCAAGAACTTGCTATAAACAACTAAAATGTGCAGAAAAATAAAAAATTGAAAATAAACTGAACAAAAGTTGTTAACTACTAAAAAGATGAAATAGCAACATTTAAAGAATTATTTTTTTTTACATTTTGCCATTGCTATTATTCTAATACAGCATTTTCTATTGTATTGACAATTAAATGCATACCCTTCTCTTCTCATTCGTCTGGTCAATTCATCAGCTCTTCTCTTTGTTTCTGTGAATACTATTGTTTTGTTTTCTTTTTCCTGCATAATTTCGTCTAATAATTTCATCAATCTAGAAAAATAATTTGTAAAGAAATATCATGACAAAATTAGCAAAACTATGATTTTATTTCCAAACAATGGGCATATTTTTTAACATGTCAATACTGCCAAGGAAACATATTCTGACAAGTTATGTAAATGAACTAGAAACAGGAAAGAAATATGTAATTATAATTACTTGTAGTCTTTTTCTGTTTCTGTACACACATCAATTATCTGGAGAATATTGTGATTGGCATGAATTTGAAGGGCTCCTATATTCATCATGATATTATCACTCAGGAATTCATCTGCTAGTGTTTTCACTTCTTTTGGCCAAGTAGCACTCCACATCAAAGTTTGTCTATCAGGCTACAAGAAAAAAAAAAACATGCTTCAGGTCAACTTTCTAATTTTTTTTTTATTTCACTGACCAGAATGCACAACACAAGACTGCACAACCAATAAAAATAGATAATGTAAAAAAGCTACACAATTGGATATATCAAACATTAGTATGGAGTGTGTGTGTGTACCTTTTACATTTTTTTAAGAACCTTATGCATTTGGAGGTTGCTATTTTAACTATGGTGCAGACATAAAAAGATTAATTCAGTGCATGTTTCCTTTAAATTCTTACTTTTAAACTTGTACTTTTATTAAGTTTGCAGAAATTCTGTTTTAACATACTGATAAGAGCCGATATTGATCATTTATAATTTTGTACAAAATAAATACAATGCAATAAGAATATTCCAGTGTCCTGCAATAAAGTAAATAAAATGCTTCGCTGGGCGCAGCTTGATACGACCGCAGAGGTCGAACCCTGAACAGTTGGGGCAAGTATGGACACAACATTCAAGCTTGATACAGCTCTGAATTTGGATTGTGATTAACAATTTGACACAGCATAGGTTCTGACACAGAAAGAATGTGGTCTAAGAACTTCAATTTTTTTAATTTACCTATTATGGTCCAATGTCCAAAATCAAAATGCATGGTTAGATTCAGCATATCAAAGAACCCCATGTATTCAATTTTTGTTGAAATCAAACAAAGTTTAATTTTGGACCCCGACTTGAACCAACTTGAAAACTGGTCCCATAATCAAAAATCTAAACACATGTTTAGATTCAGCATATCAAAGTACCCCAAGAATTCAATTTTTGTTAAAATCAAACTAAGTTTAATTTTGGACCCTTTGGACCTTAATGTAGACCAATTTAAAAAACGGGACCCAAAATTAAAAATCTAAAAACACGGTTAGATTTGGCAAATCAAAGAACCCCAATAATTCAATTTTTTGATGAAATCAAACAAAGTTTAATTTTGGACCCTTTTGACCTCAATATGAACCAATTTGATAGCGGGCCCACAAAATAAAAAATCTAAATACATGGTAAGATTCAGCATATCAAAGAACCCCATATATTCAATTTTTGTTGAAATCAAACAAAGTTTAATTTTGGGCCCCAATTTGGACCAACTTGAAAACTGGGCCAAAAATCTAAAATCTAAATACATGTTTAGATTCAGCATATCAAAGAACCCCATATATTCAATTTTTGTTGAAATCAAACAAAGTTTAATTTTGGACCCCAACTTGGACCAACTTGAAAACTGGGCCCATAATCAAAAATCTAAACACATGTTTAGATTCAGCATATCAAAGAACCCCAAAAATTCAATTTTTGTTAAAATCAAACTTAAGTTAAATTTTGGACCCTTTGGACCTTAATGTAGACCAATTTAAAAAACGGGACCCAAAATTAAAATTCTAAATACACGGTTAGATTTGGCATATCAAAGAACCCCAATAATTAAATTTTTGATGAAATCAAACAAAGTTTAATTTTGGACCCTTTTGACCTCAATATGAACCAATTTGATAGCGGGCCCACAAATAAAAAATATAAATACATGGTAAGATTCAGCATATCAAAGAACCCCATATATTCAATTTTTGTTGAAATCAAAGAAAGTTTAATTTTGGACCCCAATTTGGACCAACTTGAAAACTGGGCCAAAAATCTAAAAACATGTTTAGATTCAGCATATCAAAGAACCCCATATATTCAATTTTTGTTGAAATCAAACAAAGTTTAATTTTGGACCCCAACTTGGACCAACTTGAAAACTGGGCCCATAATCAAAAATCTAAACACATGTTTAGATTCAGCATATCAAAGAACCCCAAGAATTCAATTTTTGTTAAAATCAAACTAAGTTTAATTTTGGACCCTTTGGACCTTAATGTAGATCAATTTAAAAACGGGACCCAAAATTAAAAATCTAAATACACGGTTAGATTTGGCATATCAAAGAACCCCAATAATTCAATTTTTGATGAAATCAAACTAAGTTTAATTTTGGACCCTTTTGACCTTAATGTAGACCAATTTGAAAACGGAACCAAAAATTAAGAATCTAAATACACGGTTAGATTCGGCATATCAAAGAACCCCAATAATTCAATTTTTGATGAAATCAAACAAAGTTAAATTTTGGACCCTTTGGACCTCAATGTGGACCAATTTAAAAACGGGGCCCAAAATCCAAAAACTTAATACACGGTTAGATTCAGCATATTAAAGAACCCCAAGAATTCAAGAATAAAACCCCATTGAAATTGATCAAGAAATAAGCAATTTATATGAAGTATCTTCTTTTGCACAATACTGTGCAATTGAATATTTCTTGCTATTGTGCAATACTGTACAATTGACAATTTCTTGCTATTGCGCAATATTGTGCTATTGGATATTTCTTGCTATTGCGCAATACTGTGCAATTGAAGATTTCTTGCTATTGCGCAATACTGTGCAATTGAAGATTTCTTGCAATTGTGCAATACTGTGCAATTGAAAATTTCTTGCTATTGCACAATACTTATTATATAATAATTTACACATCCTGTTTGGTGTGTATCTCCTACCATATCATTATTATTTGCTTTTAAATATTAATCAGAAATAACCAATACAAAATGGAAAATTTTAAAAGAAAAAAAAAAGGAAAAAAAGAAAAAAAAAGAAAAAAAAAAAAATTCCCCCCCAAATTTTTTGAACCCCCTTATGATTCATCACCCCCAAACTCAATCCCAGCCTTTCCTTTGTGGTATGGTACCTTGCAGTACAATTTCAGAGAGATCCATACACTTGAACACAAGTTATTGTCTGGAAACTAGAAAAATGCTTATTTTTGGCCCCTTTTTGGCCCCCAATTCCTAAACGTTTCGGGCAATTACCCCCAAACTCAATTCCAGCTTTCCCTTTGTGATATGGAACCTTGTAGTACAATTTCAGAAATATCCAAACACTTACACACAAGTTATTGTCATGAAACTAGAAAAATGCTTGTTTTTTTCCCCTTTTTGGCCCCTAATTCCTAAAATTTTGAGGCAATTACCCCCAAAATCAATTACAGCCTTCCCTTTGTGATATGGAACCTTGTGGTACAATGTCAGAGAGATCCATACACTTACACACAAGTTATTGTCTGGAAGTTACAAAAATGCTTATTTTTGGCCCCTAATTCCTTAACTGTTGGTACCATAACCCCCAAAATCAATCCCCACCTTCCTTTCGTGGTATTGAACCTTATGGTAAAATTTCATGGAGATCCATTGACTTAAACTAAAGTTAGAGTGCGAAAACCAATGTGTCTTCGGACGACGCCGGACGACGACGACGACGCCAACGTCATACCAATATACGACCAAAAAATTTTCAATTTTTGCGGTCGTATAAAAATGGTTAAAATCATTCAAGGACATAGTTCCAATCTATGGTATCACATCTTCGCATAAATGGAACAAATTATTGTCACCAAACTCCCTTGAGGCATGTAATTTATGTAAATTTAACTGGAAATAAATGGGTAATGTGTCCACGGAACACAGATGATGCCCCCACTTGCATATCATATAAAGTTATAAAGGGACATAACTGAAGAACGGTAAAAGTGACGCTACCCAAATTTGTTATTGATCTGAGTTTTGTAGTAATAAGTATTGTGTACAAGTTTCATAACATTTGGTTGAGGCAAACTTAAGTTTGAGAACGGAAACGAAAAATTAAGCAATTTTTCCTTTTGTAAAGGGGCATAACTCTAGAATGATTAAAGCGACACCACCAAAATTCAAAACTTGATCTGTATTTTGTGGTGATAAGCATTGTGTATAAGTTTCATAACATTTGGTTAAGGCAAGCTAAAGTTAGAGAACGGAAACCAACTTTGGGACGTACGGACTGACAAGGGTAAAACTTGATGCCCCCTCCGCTACGCCCCGCCGTTAAAACAACACGATGATTGAAGATAAAATTACCATAGCATATACTACTTACTCTGATTTGTTCTACAATTTTTCTGATTTGTGGTTCAAATCCCATGTCCAACATTCTGTCAGCTTCATCTAGCACTAAGTATGTACATCTTTTCAATGTCGTTTTTTCTGCCTCCAGTAAATCTATTAATCTGCCTGGAGTGGCTATACATATTTCAGATCCTAAGAAAAAAAGCACATTGACAATATTCAAACATTTACTACAATAATAGTTGTCCAAGATTGTTTGCTACTGGATACATAACTAGAGTTGAATATTCTATTATTATTTTATTATGACAAATAACTATGAGAGGCATTACAAATGTTTTTGTTCTCCAAATTTGAACAACTTGGACCAAATCTGCTTGTTCATCATTTTTCAGAGTTCCAGCTCTATTAGCAACAATAATTCTAGATTTTTCTTAGATTTCTTCAAGGGATTTATCTTTTCTGTCAAAAAGTTAAAGATGACAAACAAAACAATTACAAGTCTAGGATTTGTGATTCAACATAAACAAATTAAGATTGACACTTGAACATAAAGTAATTATTACAAACCTCTTTCTAAATCTCGGATTTGTGGTCCTTTAGGAGATCCACCATACACACACACGTTTCTGATCCTTGATTGTCTTCCAAATTCGTTAGCAACTTCCTGTACTTGTTGGGCAAGTTCTCTTGTTGGCACTAAGACTAGAACCTGGGAAAAATTACTAAATGCATTAACAGGTAAACGAACCACTGACACTCAAGGAAAGATTGTTCCTGCCCGTCTCAAATTTGATTTATTTATTGGAATTGCATTCAGTGTACAACATGATCTGAATACTTTTCTACACATACAGTTACCACATTCCATCTTAAAGGATTTCTGTCAACTTTTCCAGGGATTGATAAATAGATTGTTTCCTAAAAAAATCCCAATATATCCTATATAAAGGTTGACTATGTAACCTCAAACTAACATATATTTTTATTGATCTACTACAAAATTGTTAATAATTCATGCTAGGATGAAGAAATTGAAAAACAAGACAAAAACCAATTCACAACAATAAACTTACAATTGGTCCATCTCCTCTCAGTAGATGTGGCTGATTCATTATGTGTACAATTGCAGGTAACATGAACTAAAAATAAAGTGAAATCTATCAAATTCAGTAGATAAAAAAATGGACTTGCTTTTGCTGTGCAGGTATAATTAGAAATGCATAGCTAGCCTTAGCAAAAATACCGATGGTCACACAATGCCAAGTAAATTTATACATTAGATTTGTTCTCAAAGAAAAGAAATATATCAAGACTGTATTAACAGTGTTTAATCATTTCTTTATCTTACAAATTTTCTTTCACTACTCTTCGATTTATTCAGATATTCATAATTAAAAGATGTTTTAACAATGTTAACTGTAACCTACCCCTGCTGTTTTTCCTGAACCAGTTTGTGCTATTCCAACCATATCTCTGCCCATCAGTGCTGCAGGCCACCCAACAGATTGTATAGCTGTTGGACTTACCCAATTTTGTCTTTGAATACTCTGCATAACATAATCTATTCAGCAAAAAAATTAATAATAACAATCACACATATAATAGCAAAATTAATATAATACAAAGTTAATGTTATCTACTTGCCCAAATTAATTTTGTTCTAAATAGGAAATTATTGGCCATTTTTTTCCAGTTGGGCCACCCTTAAAGTCAATGTTTGATGTTGCCTACCCATGCCTTGTAGGGTTGGGTAGGTAGGAAGGGATTTTTTTGGGCCAACAACACAAGTTACATTTTTAAGACAAGAAAACCACGTTAAGAGCACAAAAAAAACTTTAAAACATTATTTTTCCCCAGGAATAATCCTAAAACAATAACAATCAATCCATAATTATTCAACCTGTTTAAATAATCCATCATTACTGCATTTTCCTATTGTGACAAATTACAAGTGATACAGGAATTGATGAACCACCAAACTTCAACCCAGGTTTTCAGTGAGATTCATGCAGGTCAATATTTAGTTCAATGTATGTACATGTATCAGTCTGTAGAAAATTGTCTCAACTTTTCTTTCATTTGGCCACGTTACCTTATTTTCAAATTTTAATTGTGGTGGTTTTTTTCCTTGAGCATATCAGAAAGATTCTTGTGCCTCTTTGGTAATTTTATTTCAAAATTTAGTTTGATATTAGCAAAGACAATAGATCATGGTAAGAAAAAGCATAATCAATATTTTTAGCTTTAGCTTAATGCACTTAAACTTAACTGCTACAACATATGTAGTTACCTGGAAATCCTGCTTCGTCAAACTGTAATACTGGTTTAGGCAAATCATTTCCTTTAACTGAAATCTGCTTAGATTGGTAGTAGGTCATAATTTCATGCTGCAAATAAAAAAACACAAACTTCTAATGCCTGCGCTGAACCTTCCCAAATTCAATACATGTCTTTTATCAATTTGTCTATATATGCTAGACAAGGTAAAAATTGTATCAACAAATGTAGCTACACTTTTTTGTGTCAAGTTGACATTGCCCTTTAACACAAGGGATCTAGATGATGTGGTCACTAACTGAATAGGAATAAGTAACATGTTGATGATGAATTTTTTGTGTTTCAAGGAGGGGCTATACCTTAAAACAATTGCAGCAACTTCTCATATTCATGAATAACAAGCATTCTGAGAGTATTGCAAGGCAATACATAGTCCCCTACCGGTTAAAAATTAATTGTACTGGAACAATATGCTAACTTGATATATAACTTGTCGTGTAAACTGTATAACAAATATCAAGTCATTATCTTCAAGCATGATGACAAAAAGTGTGGAAAATTGATTATTTAATTGAATTTTCTAAGTCCAAGGACCACAACTCTGCACAAAATCATCAGACCGGAACAAAATTCGAATCTGATCTGTAACTTTTCATGATAAAACAATGTGCCAATTATTTTATCAATATCTTCAAACATGATGAAATAAAGTGCGGAAAACTGAATATTTGAGTGAATTTTCTAAGTCCGTGGACCATAACTCTGCACAAAATTATCAGACAGGAACAAAGTTCTAACTTGATCTGTAACTTGTCATGATAAAACAATATGCCAAATATCAAATCAATATCTTCAAGCACGAAGAAAAAAAGTGTGGAAAACTGATTTGTCGGACGGACAGATGGAGTGCAAACCAGAGTCCCCTTCGACTTCATTGGTAGGGGACAAATAATGAATCTACAGTAGTAGACAGGTAAAATAGAAAAAAAAAAAAAATCGGGAAAGTTTTAATTTCTTTTGAAACATCACATTCAGGAAAGTACCTGTTGTCGTGCAGAAACATTTGGGTGTTCTTTGTAGAAATTCTTCTCAAAGGTCATAAGGCGGCCCATGTCCCATTTAGGTTTATGTAGGTTCTGTCCTGGCTGATCATTTTTATTTCTCTGTCCTCCACCAAAACTTCCTCCACGTCCACCAAATCCCCCACCACCACCTCTTCCTCTGCCTCTACCACCATAGCCTCCCCCACCACGTCCACCACTACCTCCGTCTCTAAAGTTATGACTGGTTGACCCGAATGCTTTTGGGAGGTCACTTCCAAAGTCTCCATATCTGAATAAATAATATTTGCATTAATTTTAAAGATGTTGAGATTAAGATTTTGTACACACAGACTGTATTTAAATTTCATTCATCTATCTAGTTCCTGTCATGCCTTAAAACTTATGCCGGTGCGCAGGTATGTCTGCAAATTTTGTGGTGTAAACAGGGTCATATATTTTCAATTCCTTTAAATATAGCCATATTTACACCAAAAATCTTACTCTCGAGTAGACAAACCTGAAAAAATAAACTGTTGACACAGAGAGATGTCTCACCTGTCTGCATAAAATTCTGAATAAGACTATTTGATGGACAGCAACATTGCCAATTAATTCAAAGTCCCTGGACCAACTAGTGGGTAGGGCCTCAAAATGGTTGACAAACTGAGATGTACAGACAGCAATGTAACTTTATAGAAAATATTGTCAATTGTAAGTAGTTCCTATCAAACTAAATTATTCAGAAAACTTAACATTGAAAATTGTTTATTAATTGAAAGTCACTGGACCATGACCTAGGAGCAGGTCGTCAAACTGATATGTACTGATAGTAATGCAACTTTATACAAAATATCATTGATCTATCACAAGTAGTTCTTATCAAACTTGAAAGTCACTGAACCATTGCCTAGGGGGCAGGGCCTCAAAATAGTCGTCAAAGTGATATGTACTGATAGCAATGCAGCTTCACATAAAATATCATTGATCTATCACAAGTAGTTCCTATCAAACAAACTTAAGCAGAAAACTTGACATTGAAAATGGCTAGTTAATTCAAAGTCACTGGACCATGGCCTTAGGGGGCAGGGCCTCAAAATTGTCATCAAACTGATATGGCCTGATAGTAATGCAACTTCATACAAAATATCATTGATCTATCACAAGTAGTTCCTATCAAGCTAACTTAAGCAGAAAACTTAACAATTGTTGAAGCTGCAGCCGCAAAAGCAATCCCTATGTCTCGCTATCACAGGCAAGACAAAAACTAAGCCTTTTAAAGGGGCTCTAGCTACGAAATATATAAAAAATATAAAATACAATTTTTTTTGTTCAATCATTAATGAAAGTGAAATAATATATCGCTTTTAGCAGCCAGTATGGTTCAATTTTGTCAAAATAAGCTAAGAAACATTGAGGATGAATTATTCACTTGCAAGTGAATAATTCGACCTCATTGAATCCGTATTCATGTGAACTTCAATTTAACCCCTTGGCTAGAGATGGATACCACATGCATTGTGCGTGTTCAATTATTTAAAGGAAAAGAATGTCAACATTGAAAGTGAAACAAAGGTAAATCATTTGATTGAATGATTCGATCCACAAAAAATCATTCTTATACAGGTATAAACGATGATTAACATATATTTTTAATCTATAATATGAAATTAAACAGACCAAGAAAAATCATAATGCACGAGTCTGCTATCTATAATCGCTTATATGGCAATCGGAGGTTTTAGATTTTTTGATGTGCATTTTTTTCCAGTCTGCAGAAGATAGTAAAATAAACAAACACATGAGTTTCATTTGATATGGTCCACTCAGTTTAAATCACCTATTGTTTGCAGATGTCTAATGTCCATTTAAATTAATACTACTCAAAACATTTATTATACGAGGGGAGCTTCTCAAACCTCTTTCTCAACTAAGTTTATTTTGGCACCTTCTGCAGGAATGAAAAAAAAAATGAATAGCAAAATCCAGAAAAGTTTTCTTAAACATAAAATGCATTTAAAACTTAATTATCTAGTTTCCTGCCATGCCTTAAAACTTTTCCAGGTGCACAGGTTTGTCTACTCAAGAGTAAAATTTGTGGCCATATTAGCCAAAAGGTTATGTTGGACCTTAAAAGGAGGAAAATTCATAATATTTGGAACCATTTTTCTAAAGAGGGGTTCTCTTATTTTCAATAATAAAGAAGATTGAAGTCCATGAATATTCCAAAATTCATGGATATGTTTTGTCAATGTAAATCTTGATACTAATTAAGATGTATGGTTCTTGGGGAAAAGTTTCAGCAAATAATATATTTGCCCTTTTGGACATTTTATATCACTTGAAATTAACCTCTCCATACCTTGAGGAGTTATTCATAAACTGTTTAAACTTTCAACTGTAGCTGACAAATTTTTCATATATAACATGTTACAGTGTGAGGTTTGAACGTCCGGTTACCCGTGATCATGCACACCTGTCGTGACCGTTAAATTATAATTGTTCAATCGCGACTGGAAAAAAGACTAATCTTCGTCGGTCTAATAATTAGTTTCATCTTTTAATTTATGAATTTATAATAAAATTTAATACACCTTAAACGACTTTTTTTTTAAACAAATGTCTAATGCGTTCAAAAATTTATGCAAGGAACTACTTCTCATAAAATCTGAACAATAATCAGTCATTTTCTACAACTGAAAAAAGTAATATCTATATTTACCCTTTACGATCTGATCGCCCTGAATTGTGGTCTCTTCCTCTGTATGACATTGTCTGTATTTTGTTCTTCAAATTAGTTCTTAATGTTTTTCTTGTTTGCAGGTCTTCTTCCTCACTGTACGTCCGTTGTTCAATGGACACAAAAAGAACGCATGAGTGTCTGTCTGTATTAATACGCGTAAATTACGTCATTCATTTGTGGATTTGATGTACCATTAGGTAACCTCCCTCTTTCAAGAAAAAAATGGAACAAATCATTGTAACTTCTTTATTTGATATATTATATTATATTTCTTTATGTATGATTCATTGTAATTATTCTACTCCTTGTGGGCGCTTTTATTAGCAAATAAAGAATCTGTATCTGCATCTTTGATACAAATACAAATACAAGATGTTATTGGCACAAACTCATTAACAATAAATGGTTAAGACCTATTGCATATATTTAGTTATATTAATTGACATGATAGAATGAAAAGTTACATGTTAATTTATCATGATAGAATGAAAGTTACATATTGATATATCATATTATTTCACCATTCCTTATATTTAGACACTCTGATATGAAAGAGGAACTAATAATGCTGAGCTATTGTTTACCAATAGAGATATTTTTTGATATAGAGTTATTAAAAAAAGCTGAATCAAAATTAAATCATATCTAATATAGAGTTATCAAACTCATTAACTGTCTTAATATAAAGGAAACAAACAATATCGATCTGCACATATTCCAGACCGTAGCAATTTTCGACGTATGTACACACACACAGAGAGAGAGAGAGACGGGGGGTCTCTTCCTATATGAAGGTATATACATATGTGCCGCTGGAATGGGTCCCTTTTTTGATACGTTAGATATATCAATGGGGTGCAATTTTACCGAGGAAATATATCAATAGGTAGTAATTGACCAATTGTGATATATTTAGGTACTATATTTGAGCTGATAAATATATGAATGGGTTATGATTTCGCTGTGAAATATATGTATATTAGGTAGGGGTTTCACAATTATTCAATATATGAATGGGGGGTGTTTTTTAAATTCCAGCTGCACAACTGTACCCAAAATCCAATGTTGAGACCCCCTCCCCCGTGGAGAGAGAGAGAGAGAGATATTCGATCCGATTCAAGCCGGGCCCATGATCATGTGTTTATGTACAATAAAAAGTTTGTAATAATGCAGTAATGTTGGATAATGAGAAACCAACACATGCATTTAAATAGTCTCTGAAAAAAATATCTTCGATCTATACCTCTATGTTATATAAAGGTGTAGAGGTGTCATTTATTCAGAGACAGGTGCTTCTGGGTACCAACTGAAAAAAAATAAGTTTTTTTTATCTATAACAAACGGACTAAATTATCATTTGAATATAATGCAACTTAATATCATTCCTCGTGAAAACTGATAAGTGCACCGGATTCCACTCTTCTTTTGCTATTTTTGTCGCTGTCTCTCTAGCTATCTTCCCGTCGAGAAGTGGACTAATTTTGAGCGTAGAAACTCCAGCGTGATGAACAGCTAAAATCCAAGTATGCACAGTTAAAATGAAGTCTACATATTTACAGTTAAAATGTAAGTGGTCTAAATTAGTTGTAGAGTAGTGTCGACACGCTGGCAGCTTGAATGGCTTGTCGAAAATAATCAATGTTTATCGATGTTCCCTCGACTAGAACATGTTGCCACGTTTTGTTATAAAGAAATATCTCGACCCATTTGAGAGTATACTCACAAACACCGTTTTTTTAAAAACTTTTTAAGAAGTCGCTGGTGTGGCAACTTATCAAACTCCTTGAAAATATCAAGAAGTATTGCGTCAATTTGTTGGACATTCGATATAAAAAAAGAAGATGTGATATGATTGCCAATTCAATGAGACAACTCTCAAACGGAGACCAAGTGACATAGAAGTTAACAACTATAGGTCACCGTACGACCTTCAACAATGAGCAAAACCCATACCGTAAATTCAGCTATAAAAGGCCCCGAAATAACAAATGTTAAACAATTCAAACGAGAAAACTAACGGCCTGATTTATGTGCAAAACAATGAACGAAAAACAAATAGGATATAAAGCAACAAACGAAAACCACTGAATTACAGACTCCTGACTTAGCATACAAAATGTGGCGGGGATAAACATGTTTGCGGGCGCCCAACCCTCCCCTACCCTAGGACAGTAATGTAACAGCACAACATATGAACAACTATAAATATCAGTTGAAAAGGGTTTACTCATCAGATCGATACAAAACAGAAAAGCAAGTAACGAAAAACACAGACCGGACGTAGCAGGGTATTTATACATCCCCTAAACAAAAAAGACACTAAGTACAGATCTGAGAGTACTTGCAGTTACTGACATCTAGTCCAAAGCCAATAAACATTAATAAAAAAATCATGTATCTAAGACTTAAGTACAATCAGTACACATTCAACATCCAATGGATTTAGTCAAGGATTAGTTTACTATACAAATCCTTGATTTAGTGTAAAGACGTCATTAACAGTCCATGAAAAACACGACCTTGCGCAATGTCAAAATACAATCGACAGATTGGAAGTTAAAGATACCGGACGGTAATTTGCGGCACGATACTCTTGTTTCCCTTTTTGAACAGTGGCACAACATACAAGTCTAAATTGAAAACAACGTTCAAACCTATGATTGCGTTGGATAAAAACCGCAATTTGTATACGTGTGCATGAAAAACAATTTTTTTGGTAGAGGGGTCTAAATACAACACAAACAACATTTTCCAAAAGACCAAATGAGTGAAAAAGTATATTTAAACAAAACTCATTTGACTAGCAGGTCGAACAACTGATGTTCTTAACCCCTGCTGACTGCCATTGGCGATTGCCAAATAAACGGATCACAAAATGTAACAAAATAGATCTTATTATTAATTCATAACCAAACAGAAAACAATAAACTTGCGGAAAAGATGGTATACCGCAAACATGAGGTGCAAAAATGTGTACACCATATCCCGATTTCGCCGACAATTAATGTCTCTTCAGTAATGTTAGGAATCGAAACGGTATTTGGAAGGCCATATAATTTACCTCAATTTAGGATAGACTCTTGAATTTTGAAAGAGTCAAAATAGGATGAACGGATCATATTATAAACCCGAAGGCAAATATAATACAAGCCCAATATAAAAAATATAAACAAGTCTAAATTGAAAACAACGTTCAAACCTTTGATTGCGTTGGATAAAAACCGCAATTTTTATACGTGTGCACGCAAAACAAATTTTTTGGTAGAGGGGTCTAAATACAGCACAAACAACATTTTCCAAAAGACCAAATGAGTGAAAAAGTATATTTTAACAAAACGCATTTGACTAGCAGGTCGCACAACTGATGTTCTTAAACCCTGCTGACTGCCATTGGCGATAAATATGGTTTTGTATGTCTCTGTTTGTGATGTAGTTTTGCAGAGGCGGATTTAGGGGGGGCAGGGTGCCCTCCTCCCCTTTTATGGGAAAAAAATGGTTGATTATTTAGGGACCACTGAAGCATGACTGGAGCGGGCCCCCTCTTAAGGCAGATAGCCCCCCCCCCCCCCCCCTTTATGAAAATTTCTGGATCCGCCACTGTATTGATGTAGTAACCTTTATGTGTGGTATAAATGTCAAATATCCACAATTACAAACATAAAAATAATAACTAGTAACTGGCATATCTACTACGGTTGATTAACGGGGTTTTGACAACCAATAAGGTTTATAACGTTTTAAAGAATGCATGTAGTTACTGGAAGCAAGTTCAAACTTCCTAACCTTGTGATCCAAATATGGAAAATTATTATATGAAATCGTGGTTTCCTTGGCTGCAATTTCACCACCTACCCCCTGTGTTGTCATCCTTGTTTGTTTAAGCATACTCTCGTTGACAGGTTCTTTGTAAATAGAACCAGTTCTAAATTATTATTTGCAAAGAATACTGATTTATGTTGTGCAGTCAAATTTTTTTTTCACTCTTGGCGTTGGCGTTCGTGTCCGGAATTGTACATGATATACGAGTATCTGAGCATGAAAGTTTTATTCTGAGAAAAAAAAAAAAACTTAATTAACATTTTGATTAAAAAAAGATATAACTTATTCGCTTTTAAGGCTATGTTGCATATTTAAGCATAAAATGACAACTCTACTGTGTGATTAATTTTATCGACAGAATATCTAGAAATCCAAGAATTTTGTACATAAGTATTGAAAACTGTTCAAACCATTTAATTCTGAGCATATGTTGAGTTTTGATCTAATGTACTTTTTTTAAATAAAAAAGAAATGTCAGAGAACTATGTTATACGAGTTTGTTTTTTAGTAAGTCGGTTATCATTCGGCACTCCTTTTCTTTTTCTCTTTTTTTTGGGTGAAAAAATTACCTCCCTTTGTTTGCCACAGAATATCACAGTTCACAAAATTAGGTTGCATATTCTTCTAGTCACCGTATTTATGAGACTCGCATGTAATCATTTTACATATCTTCAATCCAAAGTATATATCCTCCCTCACCAAACTTTAAAAGAGACCTCGGACTCCATGTCATGTGTCTATGATGTGAATACAGCAAACACGTGTTTTGACTTTGTTTCTGTTTCGGCCAAATAAATGAATAATGGCCACAAATTAAAAAAAAAAAGATTATCCTTCAGTGAAATTTTTATGAAATAATCATTTCATGTGTCTTATGCTAGACCAAATAATTAAGGCATCTTAGAATGCTATTTTAATTTTTGCTTTGACACCCATCTTGGCGGACCTGTAAAGGAATCGGTTCATAAATTAAAGGGTAAAAATTGATCCTAAAATTTTGATATGATGATAATGGATGGCTGCTTAACGTTCAGCGGAAAATTAATATGCACATTCTGGACGAGTACATGTTAGTGTTATATGAACATCTACCCTGCTTTGTACTAGACCAACACGCTGAGCCGGATTTTTAACGTGCTATTTCACAAGGTTACAGTCCGCAGGAAGACATGTCACCTTACCAGGATACATTATTCTGACTCTGAGCCGACCAGTCTTTGCTCTTACTCCTAAATGCCATGTGCTTAGCGGAGAGGCAGCAAATACCAATATTAAAGTCTTTGGTTTGACCTGGTGGGGATGCGAACCCACGACCTCCCGCACTCGAGGCGAACAAGAGACCACCAAGGCGGTTAGATTTCTATGTGCTCGTTTACGGTTATGATAAACCGTTGTCCCTCCATTGTTCACGTTGGACAATAACTCAAAAACACTTAAACCAATTTTCATGAAACTTTACTGAATTGTTTATATCTATTGACGTAAGCACCTTTTTCGATTTTTATAAATTTCTGATTTTATATTTTGGAGTATTTGGACTTTATTCACAAAAAAGGGGGGATTTTCCAGTATTTGGACAATAACTCTAAAATGCTTTGAGCAGTTTTCATGTAACTTTGGTGACTGGTTTATATCTATAGACGTATTTACACTTGTATGCAAATTTGTCCGCCATTACTTAAAATCATGCAAGTTCCCATAAAATTTGACATCACAATTAAAAAAATTTGACGTCATAATTAAAAAGCAATTGTTGCTTGACGTCAGAAGGTTATTCGGAGACAAAATTCAGCTAAATTCCAAAAGTGTTGATACTTTTATTAAAATAAGCTCCCTTTAGATTTTTATAAATTTCTGATACGACATTGAATAGTTATGGAACTTTATTCGTTGAAAAAGAAACAGGCGTATGATAAGCTTGTGGCACAGCTCTTTATTTCACATGTTTAATCTGTCCCGAGTACCACAAATTATACATAGAAGAAGTTGCTATAAAACTATTTCATACAATCCAACATCTTATCGGATCATCAAGTTATAATTTACAAAGTTGCAACCAATTAATTACGCATAATCAATTTGAGTTGAAATGTTGATTTTGTCCAATTTTTCATTGATTTATTATAGTTTTCGAAAAAATTAACTTTGGCCTCCACCCCCGATTCATAAAATCTCTATGTTCTGAGATTCAATATAAACATTGGCACATTGTAATCCCAGATCATTTTGGATCCTAGGTTGCGACGGAAGTTTTCCTGAAGCTTTTAATTGCAAAAAATGCACAAAATCGTTTTTTGGACAAAATCTCTCAAATGTGCTGACTTTGGAGCTTATAATACACTTTTTTGAAGATATTTGTTTTACTTAGCATTAAGGCTATTAAAATAGATCCATTCAAGAACAAGATTGTGACCTTACTGATAATTAGTCCCCTACCGACGAAGTCAAAGGGGACTTTAGGTTTGCACTCTGTCTGTCTGTCTGTCCATCCGTCAGTCTGGCAAATCAGTTTTCCACACTTTTTTTCATCATGCTTGAAGATATTCATTTGATATTTGGTGTATTGTTTTATCACGACAAGTTACAGTTCAAGTTCGAATTTTGTTTTGGTCTGATGATTTTGTGCAGAGTTATGATCCTTTGACTTAGAAAATTCACTAAAATAATCAGTTTTCCAAACTTTTTTTTGTCATTCTTGAGGATATTGATTTGATAATTGGTATATAGTTTTATCATGACAAGTTACAGTTAAGTTCAAATATTGTTCTGGTCTGATGATTTTGTGCAGAGTTATGGTCCTTTGACTTAGAAAATTCACTCAAATGATCAGTTTTCTGCACTTTTTATACGACCGCAAAAAAATTTTTGTGGTCGTATATTGGTATGACGTTGGCGTCGTCGTCGTCGTCGTCCGGCGTCGTCGGCGTCGTCCGAAGACACATTGGTTTTCGCACTCTAACTTTAGTTTAAGTGAATGGATCTTTATGAAATTTTACCACAAGGTTCAATACCACAAAAGGAAGGTTGGGATTGATTTTGGGGGTTATGGTAATAACAGTAAAGGAATTAGGGGCCAAAAAGGGGCCAAAAATAAGCATTTTTGTAACTTCCAGACATAACTTGTGTGTTAGTGTATGGATCTCTCTGACATTGTACCACAAGGTTCCATATCACTAAAGGAATGCTGGGATTGATTTTGGGGGTAATTGCCTCCAAATTTTAGGAATTAGGGGCCAAAAAAGGGGCAAAAAACAAGCATTTTTCTAGTTTCATGACAATAACTTGTGTGTAAGTGTATGGATCTTTCTGAAATTGTACTACAAGGTTCCATATCACAAAGGGAAAGCTGGGTTTGAGTTTGGGGGTAATTGCCCTAAACGTTTAGGAATTTGGGGCCAAAAAGGGGCCAAAAAACACATTTTTTTCTAGTTTCCAGACAATAACTTGTGTTCAAGTGTATGGATCTCTCTGAAATTGTACTGCAAGGTACCATACCACAAAGGGAAGGCTGGGATTGAGTTTGGGGGTGATGAATCATAATGGGGGTTCAAAAAATTTTGGGGGGGGATTTATTTTTTTTTCCTTTTTTTTCTTTTTTTCCTTTTTTGTTTCTTTTAAAATTTTCCATTTTAAGTTGGTTATTTCTGATTTATATTTAAAATCAAATAATAATGATATGGTAGGAGATACACACCAAACAGGATGTGTAAATTATTATATAATAAGTATTGTGCAATAGCAAGAAATTTTCAATTGCACAGTATTGCACAATAGCAAGAAATCTTCAATTGCACAGTATTGCGCAATAGCAAGAAATCTTCAATTGCACAGTATTGCGCAATAGCAAGAAATATCCAATAGCACAATATTGCGCAATAGCAAGAAATTGTCAATTGTACAGTATTGCGCAATAGCAAGAAATATTTAATAGCACAGGATTGTGCAAAAGAAGATACTTCCTATAAATTGCTTATTTCTTGACCAATTTCAATGGGGTTTTATTCTTGATTTCATGGGGTTCTTTAATATGCTGAATCTAACCGTGTATTTAGTTTTTGGATTTTGGGCCCCGTTTTTAAATTGGTCCACATTGAGGTCCAAAGGGTCCAAATTTAAACTTTGTTTGATTTCATCAAAAATTGAATTATTGGGGTTCTTTGATATGCCGAATCTAACTGTGTATTTAGATTCTTAAATTTTGGTTCCGTTTTCAAATTGGTCTACATTAAGGTCCAAAGGGTCCAAAATTAAACTTAGTTTGATTTTAACAAAAATTGAATTCTTAGGGTTCTTTGATATGCTGAATCTAAACATGTATTTAGATTTTTGATTATGGGCCCAGTTTTCAAGTTGGTCCAAATCGGGGTCCAAAATTAAACTTTGTTTGATTTCAACAAAAATTGAATATATGGGGTTCTTTGATATGCTGAATCTAACCATGTATTTAGATTTTTGATTTTTGGGCCCCGTTATCAACTTTGTCCACATTGAGGTCAAAAGGGTCCAAAATTAAACTTTGTTTGATTTCATCAAAAATTGAATTATTGGGGTTCTTTGATATGCCGAATCTAACCGTGTATTTAGATTCTTAATTTTTGGTTCCGTTTTCAAATTGGTCTACATTAAGGTCCAAAGGGTCCAAAATTAAACTTAGTTTGATTTTAACAAAAATTGAATTCTTAAGGTTCTTTGATATGCTGAATCTAAACATGTATTTAGATTTTTGATTATGGGCCCAGTTTTCAAGTTGGTCCAAATCGGGGTCCAAAATTAAACTTTGTTTGATTTCAACAAAAATTGAATATATGGGGTTCTTTGATATGCTGAATCTAACCATGTATTTAGATTTTTGATTTTTGGGCCCCGTTATCAACTTTGTCCACATTGAGGTCAAAAGGGTCCAAAATTAAACTTTGTTTGATTTCATCAAAAATTGAATTCTTGGGGTTCTTTGATATGCTAAATCTAACCATGTATTTAGATTTTGGATATTGGACCATAATAGGTGAATGTCCAATTTAAAATTTTTAAGTTCTTAGACCACATTCAATCTGTGATAGAAACCTATGCTGTGTCAAATATTTAATCACAATCCAAATCCAAAGCTGTATCAAGCTTGAATGTTGTGTCCATACTTCCCCCAACTGTTCAGGGTTCGACCTCTGCGGTCGTATCAAGCTGCGCCCTGCGGAGCATTTTATTTTAATCATGCGTGAAGATATTGATTTGAAAATTGGTATATAGTTTTATCATGACAAGTTACAGATCAAATTCGAATTTTGTTCCAGTCTGATGATTTTGTGCAGAGTTATTGTCCTTGGACTTAGAAAATTCACTTAAATAATCAGTTTTCAACACTTTTTTTCGTCATGCTTGAAGATGTTGACTTGATATTTGTTATATAGTTACACCATGACAAGTTATAGATCAAGTAAGAATTTTGTTCCAATACAATGAATTTTTAACCAGTAGGGGACTATGTATTGGCCTGCAATACTCACAGAATGCTTGTTTATAAAATTTGAAATTCAAGGCCATATTTTGGCCAAAGTGAACTTTGTCCTTACAGGTCACAGGTCAGGTGATTGAATGAATTGTGTAAAAAGGCTTTTGGGCTGAATGATTATTGTATAGGTCTTCTAGGATTTATAGGTCTTAATATTCAACATTGTCATGTATATGTACAAATATCAGATTTTCTAAATTGTTACTCAAACAGATCATTGCTTAAGATGACACCATATATGATCATATATTAGGTCCTGATAAGTATGGCTCATTCCAAAAATAAATAATTCTGCCTAATTTTACATATTTCTGTTATAAATTCCACAGCTAATATCTAAACAGAGATGCTTGAACATTGAACTTAATGAATACAATATAATAGACTTTATTTACTATTCAAAGTGCTTTAATTAGAGCAGAATAATACACCTTATCGCCATTTATTCCTATCCGGATAAGCACAGGCACTAGTCTCAGAATTTTTTCCCCCTATATACCTTAATATAACACAAGGTGTTATATAAAGGTATATAGGAAATTTTTTTCTGAGACAAGTGCCTGTGCGGGAAAGTTCTAAAATTACACAACTTTTCAAATCAGTTGAAGCTATCTGGGGCCTTGTTCAAACAATGTATTGTGCATAAAAATTTTCACAGAGACATGTTTAAACCATTGTAAACACATCGAACAAAGCATTTTCAATGACTTTAATTTGACTTTTAAAAATTGCTTCTTAAACTATCAAAATTTTAAAATGTCCACTTTCCAAACTTTTTCAGCTCTTGCTGATGACCTTTGTTTTGCTCCACTTGACCTCAACAGGAAGTTGTCTAAGTAACTGTTTTTCCCGGATTGAACTAAATAGCGATAAGGTGTATTACAATTTAATTATCACTTCATGACAACACATATAATACTATTGTAAAGAACAGCTAATAGATTCTGCTTGGAATTCAGAATCTCATCTGATTAGGGGAACATCTCTTATGTTGGAATAGTTGCCTTAACAAGTGATGTAATATAAATCTTTTTTTTAATTCATGCTGTAAATATTTTTTCTCTCTTTTTTGGTTCATTTAAACTTGAATATACAACAGTTGGAAATATGGAGATGAAAACACTTTGAAATATTTGTGACTGAACATCTTGTCTTTAATTTAGTGAGATTTATTATTTTTCAGCCTTAAAAGATGAAGACAGATGATAATCTAGTTGATAAAGTTATGCGTGAAATGACATGTGAACTTGGACAATTAACACGCTGTGATGGAGATGCATGTTTAATTCAGGGAGAAACATGTGTAGCCACTGCTGTTTATGGCCCAACAGAGGTTCGAATGAACAAAGAGATTCTTGATAAAGCTACTGTAGAAGTTGTTTACAAATCAAAAGTAGGACTTCCGGGTTGTGCAGAAAAAATGTTTGAAAGGATAATTCGTAACACGTGTGAGACCACGATTCTTACAACAGCACATCCTAGGTCTGGTATAAATATTATTATCCAAGAAATGCAAAATTCTGGTTCATATTTAGCATGCTGTATAAATTCAGCTTGTCTTGCTCTGTTGGATGCAGGCGTTAGTTTGAAATTTCTTGTGGCAGCAGTTACCTGTCTTATTAACAAAGAAGGGGACATTATTCTTGATCCAAATAGCAAACAGGAAAAAGATGGAAAAGCTTTATTAACATTTGTATTTGACAATAAAGATTTCAACATTGTAACAGTGAATACCAAGGGAAGCTATTCATCAAGACAGTTCAAAGATTGTACATCATTGTGTAAAACCTCAAGCAAACAAGTTTTTGAATTTTATAAAAAATCTATGGAAAAGTTGTTAAGTAAAGACAATTTTGTTAAATGAACAAAATGTTCCATTTGTTATTTTCCTGTGCTATGGTTCTGTGTTGTTTTAAGTCTATATTAATATGGTGGGACAAAAACTCTGGCTAGGGAAGTCTTTTCTGATTGTTTATTGGGGCTCTTTATTAGTATTTTAGTAGCATATTAATGTATCCAAATAAGATTAAGGGTGATTGCTGAAAGACACATTTTATCATCCATCATACATGAAATAAGCAGTGTAGCATAAATCTGGCTGTTGGTTTTCTTATTTCAACTGTTTCCAATTTTATCCATCTTCGCTAGCCAAGGGTTACGATCCAGTCCCCTCCTCTCCACCTTTGGCAGATTAAGCTGACATTTGTTATTACAATGCTGTGCCATCTAACAGTAGATAAAAGTCAAGCCCATTCCAACTACATCATTGTTGACCAAGGGCAGCACTTGAACTCTCTTCAGTGTGGAGGCGTAAAAAAGGTTGTGTCTAGTGTTTACAAATATCGTGAAGCAGGAAACGAAATTTGTACGTTGACATTCCAACATTTCCACAAGAAACATACTACAATTAGTTTGATTAAGAACTTTAAAATTGTCTCTAAATATTGTCCTATGTTTTGGATATGAAGACTTTGTTGCACAATCAGCACGTGGCAATTGTTTATTTACATTCAGATTTACACTGATCATCTTAAAGGCGCTTTTTGATTGGATGCAGCCAGTTATAACTGCGGCCAATGAAAATCATTACCTCGTGTATCTGAATCCTATCTTAATCCGCCAAGGCTGGAGAGGAGGGGACTGGATCATAACCCTTGGCTAATGAAGATGCCTTTTATAGCTTACTATCAATATCAGTTTTCATCATTGTTGGAAGCCATACAGTCACCATGAGTGACCTATACTGGATTGCATTCACACCCTTTGATAGCTGGTGGATAATTATCACATTGGCAATCTTACCACATCTCCTTTTTCAGCTCACCTGGACCAAAGGGCCATGTCAGCTTTTCCCATCACTTGTCGTCTGTTGTCATCCATCTTCCATTAACTTTTACAAAGATCATCTCCTCTGAAATTCCTGAGTAAAATTTAACCAAACTTGGCCACAATCATCATTAGGGTATTTTGTTTAAAAAATGTGTCTGATGACCCTGCCTGCCAACCAAGATGGCTGACATGGCTAAATATAGAACATAAGGGTAAAATGTAAGTTTTTATACAACCGCAAAATTTTTGCGGTCGTATATTGGTATCACGTCTTTGTCATCGTCGTCGTCCGAAGACATTTGGTTTCCGGACAATAACTTTACTATAAGTAAATAAACACACGGTTTATGACCACAAAAGGAAGGTTGGGATTGATTTTGGGAGTTTTGGTCCCAACAGTTAAGAAATTAGGGGCAAAAAAAGGGCCCAAATAAGCATTTTTCTAGTTTCCAGACAATAACTTGTGGAATGGTGTATGGATCTCTCTGAAATTATACCACAAGTTTCCATACCACAAAGGGATGGTAAGAATTGGCTTTGGGGGGTTATGGCTCAAAGGGTTAAGGAATAAGGGGCAAAAAAGGGGGAAAAACAAGGGTTTCCAGGTTAATGGACTATTACTTAAGTACAAAACATAATTTAAAAGCAGTGTAAGGGAGGTAATTCAAACACATTTGAATTACCTCACTTACACTGCTTTTAAATTATGTATATTGGAAATTTGTCAATTACTTTAGTATTAATAAACTCCATTGAAAATTTTCCAATAACTTTAGTATAATAAACTCCATTGGAAATTTGCCAATAACTTTTGTATAAGTAAATATAAATCTATGAAATTTAAACACAAGGTTTGAAACCACAAAAGGAAGGTTGAGATTGATTTTAGGGGTTATGGTCCCTATGGTTAAGGAATTAGGGTCCAATTTTTTTTTAAGGAGTTCATATTTTTTCCCCAAATTTTTCGAATTTCTAATTTTTGAAAAGTTTAAGAAGAAATCAATTGTACAGTATTGCACATTAGATTTGTAAGATCTTTGACCACATTTATTTGTGTCAGAAACCTATATTATATCAAAAATTTGATCACAGGAACTAGGGGCCAAAAATAAGCATTTTTGTAGTTTCGAGACAATAACTTGTAAGTGTAAGGATCTCTCTGAAATTGTTCCACAAGGTTCCATATCACAGTGGAAAGGCTGGGATAGAGTTTGGGGGTTATGCCCCAAACGTTCAGGAATTAGGGGCCAAAAACAAGCATTTTTCTAGTTTCCAGACAATAACTTTTGTTTAAGTGTATGGATCTCTCTGAAATTGTACTACAAGGTACCATACCACAAACGGAAGGCTGGGATTGAGTTTGGGGGTAAATACTCCAAGGGGGAGGTTAAAAAAAATTTCGGGGGGGATTTTTGTCGAGCCTTCGACTTTTGTCGAAAAAGCGAGACATAGCGATCCCACATTCCATCGGCGTCGGCGGCGTCCACAAATATTCACTCTGTGGTTAAAGTTTTTGAAATTTTAATAACTTTCTTAAACTAACCTGGATTTCTACCAAACTTGGACAGAAGCTTGTTTATGATCATAAGATAATATTCAAAAGTAAATTTTGTAAAAAAAAAAATCCGTTTTTTCCGTATTTTACTTATAAATGGACTTAGTTTTTCTGCCAGTTAACATTACATTCACTCTGTGGTTAAAGTTTTTAGAATTTTAACAACTTTCTTAAACTATCCTGGATTTGTACCAAACTTGGACAGAAGCTTGTTTATGATTAAAAGCTAGTATCTAGAAGAAAATTTTGTTAAAATTTTGTTCGATTTTTTCCGTATTTTTCTTATAAATGGACTTTGTTTTTCTTCCAGTTAACATTACATACAGTCTGCAGTTTAAGTTTTTAAAACATTTATTAGATTCATAAACTATCCTGGATTTTTACCAAACTTGGACAGAAGCTACTTACAATCAAAAGATAGTATAGAGAGGAATATTTTTATTAATTTTTTTCCTCATTTTTGTTGAGCCTGCGATTAACAGCAAAAGTAGGCGAGACACTGGGTTCCGCGGAACCCTTACGAATTTTTTTTTTTTCATAATATTTTGGTTTTTTTCCTAAAAATTTTCCTTTTTTACATTAATTATTTCTGATTTGTATATAAAGGCAACAAATACTGATGTAATAGTAAGAAATCTTCAATTGCACAGTATTTGGCAATGGCAAGAAATCTTGAATTGCCCAGTACTCTGCGGTCGTATCAGGCTGCACTCAGCGAAGCATTTTATTACCAATTTTTGGCATTTTTGCCTATTATCTTTAAAACTATAAAAAATAGATAGAAACTTTAAATAACAAAAATGATCAGCAAGACAAGATCTACAATCAGGTCACATTCTACAATAAAAGTTAGTAGATAGGAGTGATTGCCCTTAAATGAGAATTTTTTGTTTACCCTCTTTTGTGTTTTGGGCAAAAACTAAAGATAGAGAGAAACTGTAAACAGCAGTCTACCATGTTAAAGATGTACATAGACATAGGCTCTTTAGAGCCTCTAGTTGTATTTATGTTACTATACAGCTTATACTTTACTGGTAAATTTTAACTAATCTTCACCCTTTGTCTCCCGAAAAATCACTTTAACACAAATCTTAACCAAAGAAACAACTGCATCAAATCTGTGGTTAAATGATGCATGTGTGATCCCCTTAATGATTTGTTGTTGGTGGCCACAAATACATTCAGATATGCATGGCATCCATAGTAAAGAACGTCATACATTGTATGCTTTTGGTCTTGTGGAAATTCTATCTCATGTACATCCACCACAAATCGTAAATCAATATAATCAAGCCAATAAATACAAAGGTATATGCTTTATTTCTGAGAACCAATTCATTTTTTGTGATTATCAATAGATACAAACAATATTATCACAGTAAAATATATATGTACACTGGCATAGCACTATGAATACAAGCATAATTAATGTCAAAGATCAGCTCTGTATTAGTTTCAGTCCCATTCAACACACAACCAGAGTCTCCTTGGACTATGCAACTCAATGCCAGTCGCATACAGTTTTGAGATTCTGAGTCTGGGTGGATTTTCTAATTTGACAGCCCATTTGGGTATTCTGAAATTTTTTCTAGTGTGGACTCCCTCTGTAGCCTGAGCGGCTTAATAAGAAAAAAATTACAATGAACCGGAAGCACTGTAAAGCAAGTGAAAAATAAGTCTCTATTTAAATCGCTTTCCCTGACGAGAATTTGAATGGAAGTATTTAGACCTAACAATTTACATCCACATACTATTTAAGTTAAAGTGGTTACGTGTTAGTATTGAGAAGTGGAGAAATCTATAGTTATCAATTACAATCAGATAACTTAATTTGATTGAGAATGGAAAACACTATATCTCTTTATGTCAATTTATTCCCTAATCCATTTTTTTTCTAAGAACAAAAAAAGTTTTATAATATATTTTTTTTCGTAATAATGTATATGAAAAATAATTCGTCTTGGTTGTAAAGGTCTGCACAAAAATCCATGTGTTTTAGCAAGGATGTGTTCTTGTCATCTGAACTTCCAATACATTCTGTGATTAAATGTGTGAAGAAGCACACGTAAAGAGCATTAATGATGATGAACAATGAAGGCTAAACAGCTCAAACTAACCCCTGTTTCAGCTAAGCTAATAAATATCTTTAATAATGTTGCATCAAGCAAATATGTATGTACAATTAAAATGTCATCAGACAGTGTGTCATTTTTAATAAGAAAATCATAAAGAGTTCCACAGAACCCCGTGACCCACCTGCGCATGCTGCTGTCTTTAAAACTTTAGTTGACTGCCAAAAGATAAGACCATTTCCATTTATCAGTCATCTTCAAAATATTGACTTTTTTTATTAATTTTGCCCACGGTGCTATCTTGAGTATGGAGAAGTTTCTGTATAAGTTTGGTATAACTCTACAAAGGTTTGACTACATTATTCAAGTTTTAAAATCGTTAACCAAAGACTTTACCTAAATGTTTCCTCCCAA